ACTTTGATAAGCCGCTAGTCTAAATACTACAAGTGAAGATAGTCGGTAAAATAAATTCGTTACACGGTGTGCTAGTCACTAACATACCGTGTAACTAATAATATATACGGGTAGGGTCAATTTCATATAGGGTAAGATCCCCCTATATGGAATTACTGACTATCTTTACATTTAAAATTTAGACTGTTGGTCTATTAAAATGATCAATATAAAGATATGAAGATTGGGTATGATTGCCAATAAGACAACTCTCCACAAGAGGCCAAATGGCACAGAAATTAACAGCCATAGGTCACCGTACGGCCTATGGAGAACTCGCAGTTACTGACAGCTAGTTCAAAACCAATAACAACTAACAAAAAAAAAAGCATGCATCTAAGACTAAAATATCAATCAGTATACATCCAACCTCCAATGGATTTAGTGTAAAGACGTCGTCAACAGTCATAGAAAAACATGACCTTGTGCAATGCCAAGATTCAGGTGTCGACAGATTATAGAGCCATGAATGTGCATATGTAAATAAAAATAATATTTATTTTGGTTTTAATTTACTGATAACAAAATCAATATTAATACCTCATGTGCATGTATTGCTTTGGTATTAATAATTTATTTCTGTGCAACATACAAAGATGTGCAAGCGGTTTCCTTCATGACATGATCGTTTTCTATATAAAATTAGGAAGATGTGGTATGATTGCCAGTGAGACAACTCTCCACCATGCAGATATCAAATGACGTAAGAGTTAACGACTATAGGTCACCGTACGGCCTGCAACAATGAGCTAAACCATTACCTATACTAGTTGGCTTAAAATTTAAATGCGTTTTTTTTTCCTAATTTTCTTTCTTTCCATAATATATATATATATATTATGGAAAGAAATTTGTTTTGCATGCACACGTATAAAAAATGCGGTTTTTATCCAACGCAATCATAGGTTTGAACGTTGTTTTCAATTTAGACTTTCTTATATATATATCTCGATTTGTTGTTATATATATATAATTCGTCTAAACAACAGCCCAACAATGTTAGATCTGTAAATTTGCGGAAGCAATTTTTTTGTTCTTCCCTGGCTGGGATTCGAACTCATGCTACTGAGATATCGTGGCACCAAATCGCTTTGCTCTATGCCCGACGCGCTAGACCACTCGACCACCTAGGCTCTCTCTATATATATATATGCATTCTTTATTGGAGATCGTGTAAAGGGAGAGACGCCAAATAAACAGAATTATACAGTATGAATGGGATTATAGTGGGGTTTAAAACGCATCCTACAATTGAACAGCGTACATGTATAGAGTGCATTAGCTTGAATACTTCCTCTTCATAAGTGAGTGAGTTCAATAGATATAAGAAGATGTGGTATGAGTGCCAATGAGACAATACTCCATCTAAGTCACTATTTGTAAAAGTAAACCATTATAGGTCAAAGTACAACGTTATTTGACATTATTTGATAATAGACTGAGTTATCCATAAGAAAATTCCCATTCCAGCGGATTTAAGATATACAAACAGAACCATTGTAAAATCATATGATGCAATGAAGGTATAGTCGGACGAAAAACATTGAGACAAGAAGTTGTGACCGATATTTCGTCACCAACCTGACCATATCACGATTTTGACCAGATCTTTTCTTTGACGTCAAAATGTCTGACTCGACATTATGTTGAAAGGTATAAAGTCCCTTCCAGGTTAGCTTGTAAAACAAGACAAATCAATTTGTTCAAGAAAACCACAAAACGACAATGAGATCGATAAATCGATAAATGTAGCAGATTTCTAATTATGAAAATGATTGATCGTTGTTTGCTTTACGTCCAGTGACAAACATCTCATGCATCTTCAGGTCGAGATCAAATTAACAATAAATTCAATAGGTATGTACTGTAATGGGGGTCGACCGCGTTTAAATGTTGTGAAATGTGGACTGCAGCTAAAAATGAGGCGACATTAGATAGGTACAGAAGTTTAGCATTGCAACAGGCCACCTACGAACCCCTCAGAGTTGCTGTAAGGGTTTTTAATTTCAGAGAGCGTAGCAGCCTCTACACTACGCATTGAAATTTTTTGCTTTGTTTGCATCAGTATTATAATTAATAATTTCTGTGCCTCATACAAAAATGTACAAGCGGGGTCCTTCATGACATGTAAGTTTTCTATTATAGAAAGAAGAAGCTGTGGTATGATAGCCAGTGAGACAATTTTCCACTATGCAGAGACCAAATGACGCAGAGGTTAACGACTATAGGTCAACGTACGGCCTGCAACAATGAGCAAATCCAATACATAACCCATGCTAGTTGGCTTGAAATTAAGTTGTATTTATTGAATTTTCTCCTTTCCAATATATAATATATACATTCTTTATTGGAGATCGTTTAAAGGGAGACAAACATTCAACTTGACGCTGAGAATTCGAATAAACAGAATTATACAATATGAATGGGGTTACACTGGATTTAAACTGCATTAGGTCGTGAATACTTGCTCTTCATGAAAGTGAGTTCAAAGTTTAGATTTAAGAAATAATTCTTTCATGCCATGCTCTATGCTCGTTTTAACATGGATAGGCATTATATTTGTCAATATCTTTATATCGAGCGTTATTTCGATTCTAATAGGAAAATTTAGGACTTTCATCTTCTGAAGCGGACCTATAATACATAATACGTTCGAAAGGCAGTCATTTTGATTTCACGAATTCAAAAACAATATAGAAAATCAACAGTTTCACGATGAAAAATGAACATGTGAACTTACTTTTAGAATGATTTTATTTAATTTCCAATCGAGCGACACCAACACAAATGTCCATTTTGATCTCCGGCGTTGTTTTAAATTCAACTGACGTTGTAATTTTAATTTTACGTCAATCACGTGCAGCCTCTGTATTATTCGAATTACAACATGGCTTTGTTTCCAAAGCGAAAGAAGAACGTCAAAATAGAATTGATAATAGACTGAGTTATCCAGATATAAAAACAGAACCATTGTAAAATCATATGATGCAATGAAAGTAATAGTCGCACGTACAAAAATTGAGACAAGAAGTTGTGACCGATATTTTGACAACACCCTGAACAGCTCTTAAGTCCCATATTTCTCGATTTTGATGTCCGCCTAGATATTAAGTCTGTCCCAAGGTATAAAGTCCTTTCCCGGTTAGCTTGTAAAACAAGACAAATTTAATTTGTTCATGAAAACCACACAACTACAATGAGATAAATCAAATACATGTAGCAGATTTCCAGAAAATATTAAACATTTTATAATCATGGATATTACTTGTTGTTTGCTTTACGTCCAGTGGCAAGCATTTCATGCATGTTCAGAAAGAGATCAAATTAACAATAAAATGAATAGGTAGGTCCTGTAATAGAGGTCGACAAGATTGAATGGTGGTAAATAATAAGTAATGCTGCTAGAAAATGAGGCGATATTGGATAAGGACAGATTTAGAAATTTAGAATTGCAACAGGCCATCTTCAAACCCCTCAAAGAATTGTTGTAATGGTTCTCAACTTTCAGAGATCGTGGTACCCTCTTCACGAGACATCGGAATTAACGTCCACATTCTGACACGACGTGGCTGCGTATTCGTACAACCCACAGTCAAACGGATTCCCCGCTTAAGCAAGGGTTTTACTCTCGGTCGATAGAAGTCCAAAAATGACCATATTTCTACAGTCACCCTTAGAGTCGGCACAATGAGAGGTCTTTTGAACTTGGTCACTTGCCTTTAAGTTATTCGAAAATTAAAAACTACTCATTTTAGGACTCGCACTAGATGTTTTACAATTTTATGCAAAACACCTGATAATTGAGACAAATCTTATGATCCTCGGACTTTCTATTATCATGCATAGGAAAAAACTAGCTATTCAATGCATGCTTACATGTAACATTATTATAGTGATAAAATTGAGAATGGAAACGGGGAATGTGTCAAAGAGACAACAACCAGATCAAAGCGCAGAAAAGAGCCCAATGCTACCAATGGATCTTCAACAAAGCAAGAAAATACCGCACCCGGAGGCGGGCGTCAGCTGGCCCCTAAACAATAATGTATACTAGTTCAGCGAAAATGGACGTCACACTAAACTCCGAAACATATAAATGAGCCAAAATTTAAAAAAAACATACAAGATTAACAAAGGCCAGAGGTTCCTGACTTGGTGACATTATTATAGAATTGTTAATCAACCTATTTTTCTTGTTATCAACACCAGTGATCCTAAAATGTTTCTGTCAGAAAAAAAAACCCGTAAAAATACACGTAATATTAAAAATATTGTTGATAAGGGAATTCCCATTATCATACCGATAGATCCATGCAGGAGATGTGAAAGGCTTTAATTAAAGGCTGAAGAAGTGCGATTTCGAAATTAAAGAATTCGTTTTTACTACAGTAAATATAAGGGTAATAACCATTCTTAACACTTTAACCTATTGTGGGTGTGTATTACATAATCCTTTAAATGGACATCAATGTGTATTAAATGGCATTGTATATACTGAACATATGAAAAATGTCACTTTTTTTAGGCAATGAAATAACACATATAATGTGTTTGATAAATATAGCGTGTACAATTTATTTAACTGTTTAATGTTTCGGAAGGGACATTTGTAACGAACATAGGACTTTGTTTAACGAAAACGTTACAAGAAAAAAAAATCATTGTACTTTATTGCAGTGTTCAAAACAGTAATTGTGGAAAGTAATAGTTAATATATTTGTTTATTCATTATTACACAAGAAAATTTCAACGAATCAGCAAATCAAAGATACAAAAGAAAATATAAAAGACACCTGATTTACCTATTATTGAAAACAAATTTTATCAAACAGAAATTTGGTGTTGTGTTTTATTGGATTCTCAGTATATTTAAATCCACAAATAATCAATATTGTTCATGTCCTTAATTCTTGACCTGTTCCATGTACATTATAACATGAAAGTAAAAAATCAACATAACAATGCTATGGTCGTTTAAATTGGCGTTCTTTGTATATTTTGGAATTAAAATTTCGACTGTCAGCTAGTGTTCATGTTTGGTCGATCTACCTATATATATATATATAGCTAGTAGCAGGTTATGATAGATAGTTTTTAGTTGGTCTATCGGCCGTGTTGTCCATTTCTGTCTGTGGATTGTGAAAATGCAGGTATGATTTGTAAAATTTATAAATAGATAAGATTAATTGAACATTGAATTACTTTACATTTTTGTTGAGCTAATAATATATGTCTTTGTTTAAAGAATTTCACGCTTCGTATTTTAAATACAACAGGTTGGGGATTATCTCCCGAATGGGTAATAATATTTCTTTTAGAATATACAAGTATGACCCCAAATGGGATATTATTTTACTGAATTTTACTGTGCAAAATTTTGCTCTATTCAAGGTCAAATAATGCAAAGTGCATATGATTACATAAAACTCATCAACTTTGGTTGTCAACTTTTCAGAGGGAGCAATCAATCGAGCATCTTTTTTAATTTTCTAGCTGGAACAGTCGCTGACCAAAAGTTATATTCCATTTTGGCTATTATAACTTAAAAGAGTTAATATGACTTATTTGGAAGATAATTTCCATGAAACATTACATGTATATATATATATATGTCTAAATTGAAAACAACGTTCAAACCTATGATTGCGTTGGATAAAAAACCGCAATTTTTATACGTGTGCATGTAAAACAAATTTCTTGGTAGAGGGGTCTAAATACAGCACAAACAACATTTTTCAAAAGACCAAAAAAAGTGAAAAGTATATTTTAACAAATCGCATTTGACAAACAGGTCGAACAACTGATGTTCTTAAACCCTGCTGACTGCCATTGACGATTGCCAAATAAATTGATCACGAGATGTAACATGGATCTTAATTATTAATTTAATACCAAACAGAAAACAATAAACTTGCGGAGAAGATGGTATACCGCAAACATGAGGTGCAAAAATTTGTACACCATATCCGGATTTCGACAATTAATGTCTCTTCAGTGATGTTAGGGATCGAAACGGTATTTGGAAGGCCATATAATTTTCCTCAATTTAGGATTGATATATATATATATATAGTTTGTCCGCAGTTTGGAGCGCTTTGACCAATTGAACCCTTCATGTCTATCTATACTTTTTTTCCGTCGACAGAAACAAAGAAAAAAAGGGGAGGGGTTCGAATGACGTCTTTCCAAACTGCGAACAGAATACTATTATTTGTTACTGATTACTACATTACTTATTACTAAGTACTAAACAAGTGTGAACGATCACTGCCTATGGAATTATCTTATTTTCCACTTATAAAGTGGTGGATTCAAGAGTAGAGGGCGTAGAGGGCGTACGCCCCCTTTTGATTGAAAAATATATCATTGTCTAACATAGAAAGGTAAAAAAAAAATGTTGGCCTCGCTACTCTTAGCGATATTTCTTCATGCAGTTTTGTGGAATTACGTCCCTCCCCCCACCCCCCCCCCCCCACACCCCGTCCGAAAATCCTGGATCCGCCCCTGTAATAACTACAAAAAACAGTTACTGTAAAATTTGCAACTTATTACTACAAATACTGCAGACAGAATGCTCATATTTGCAACTTATTACTAAAAAAAAACTACGGTAAGGTAACTCCTATTCGCAATTAATTACTTAAAAAATTGCGGACATCATGATCTTATTTGTCATTTATCACTACCAAACAAATGCGGATATAATCGTTATACTCTCATTAGCCATTTATTAGCAAAAAAAAACAAAAAAACTGCAGACACAATACTTGAATTAGCCACCTATTACTACAAAAACTGATAAAAGAAGACTATAAAGTATTTTTACAAAAATACTGCATACAGAGTTCTCATATTTGCCACGTGTTACCATAACAACTACAGGCAGAACAATGCTCATAATTGCATTAAGTAAAAATAACAAAAATACCGAATTCCAAGGAAAATATAAAACGGAAAGTGCCCCATCAAACGGCAAAATCAAAAGCTCAAACACATCTAACGAATGGAAAACAACTGTCAATTTCCTAGCTTTGTACAGGCATTTCCCTATGTAGAAAATGGTGGATTAAACCTGGTTTTATAGCTAGCTAAACCTTTCATTTGTATGACAGTCGCATAAAAATTCCATTATATTGACAGATATGTGTGAACAAAACAAACAGACATAATAGATAAAAATGCAAAAAATAGGGGTACAACAGTCAACATTGTGTTATAATCTTAATCACTATAAAACAAATAAATATGTCAACAAAGAAAAGCAAAATGATATACTTATTACTACAAAACGGCGACAAGATAGCTCTTATTTACAACTAATTTCACAATATAACTACAAAAATAATACTCTTATTTGCCACTTATTACAAATCTGCGGACACAGTCATACCCTTTTTAATATGCAAAAATCCATATGTTGATGAGAACCATAGACAACTAGTAGCGTAACAAGACAATTTATAATTGGAAGTTTCGGCTTGTGGTGTGAGGGTTTCTAAATATACCAATATTTGCATTTTACAATTTATAGGATTTTTTCTCAGCAGAGAATACGATGGATTCAGCATACCTGTCTCTTTTTGAGAAATCTTTGCTTCAGTCTTCCCCATGTTTTCTCCTTTTACTTGGAGCACCACTACGAGTTTTTCATTTTGGTTGGAGAAATTCTCCAAAACGGATAAATACTCTCGGAACTGTAAGTATCATTATAATTACAAACATAATTAGTCATATAATGGGAACGAAATACAACGATAGAAGTAGTAAATCATAGCAAGACAGGCGTTTTAAATTTAATTGCATGATGCTTATGCTGTTGGTTTAGTATCTAACGTCCAGTGGCAAATAGTACATACATATCAGTACGAAAACATGTTATTGTGATATGAAAGAGAACCATGCTTTGCACAATATCGGCAAACTGGGCCGGATCTAAACGTGCCAGTTCACAATACACATTAGTCTGTCTAAGAGTCGACCTGTCCGCGTTCTTACTCCTAAATGCTTAGAATAGTATGTATTATCTAAACGAATCTTTTGGCCATGCACATAATGAATTGACTCACAGTAAAACATTTATTATTTGTTCCTCTTACTGTTTCTTGAAATTAAATATTTAGAATTTCTTTTTTAATATTTTGATGGAGATTGTCCTAAATGCTAAATAAATGTTGCCGCAAAAAGACTGTCTTCAGACAAAAAGTCAAATGCAACTTATGTTTTAACGGTTATTATAATGAGTGCTTGATTGAATGATTGGTGTTTAACGCCACTTTCAGCACTATTGTGCTATTTCGTGGTGGTCAGATGTTATTAGTGGAGGAACCGGAGTGCCCGAAGAGAGAAAGGAGAACTGACAACCCTTGTCAATTAAGATTGGAGTCGAGCGCTCCTGCCACGTGCGGGATTCGAACTCACAACCTGAGCGTCGACATGCTAGCTAAACAGCAGTAAGACTACAAAGACCACTCGGCCAACAAGGCCGCCACAGAGACCCTTTGCTATTATAAAGATATATAAAATCTAAACGAACATGAGTTTATAACGATGTAGTAAAATTAAGTCAGCACTTGCAGACAATACACCATGAAACACAATGCGTTTAATAAAGGAAATCATACATGATTTTAGTCTGTTTGTCAGAAGTGGAAAACTTCTCCGTGAAGAAATTGGCAGGTATATTTTTTCGATAAATATATAATATGAGAAGTGAACACGATATGTTGGTTTGATGATGTGATCTATTGTACGTTCTTGTTTCGGAGGAGTTGTTTGTTGGTTTGGTCTATTGATGTTTTTTTCTTTGGATTGGCCAAGCCGGGGATGTGTTTAATGCATATCAGCGCCACAGATAAATGTAAAAGAATAAGAGGCACAGCAAATCATAAAAAAAAAAAACGTTAATCGAAAATAATGAACAGATGTACGTCATGCAGTGTAACAAAAATCACTCTCTAAATATTATATTCTATAAATAAGAAGAACCTATTCAAATTAATCGTATTTTTCATTGCAGATTTTGACGGTTTTAATTGCTGTTTTAACATTGGGTGTGTTAGCACTTAATATACATGGCTTTCTGGAAGGTGATCCATCGTTGACGGAATTGTTTCCAGTGCTTGTCATTATAACAATGGTAATATTACATATATTCTTTAAAAATGCCTATTGCACATTTCAATATTATTCACACACTCAGGTCTTTGAAACTGTTTTACATTCAAGCATGATTTGAAATACACTTTGTTTTAATGTACCATTGAATAAAAGTTAATTATTCGGTGACAAATCCATGCGTATTGTACTTTATGCCACTGCTTAAATAGTAAGTCTTATATATGCATGTGTGATGTTGGTTGATGTATGACAGAAATCACACTAATTTCCCAGCTCATTTGTCCCGATATGACACCTTTATGCCAACCAGTTAAAAAAACGATGAACGTTGTTCAGTGTTTTTGTTAAATAATACAATCTAGCTATAAGTATCTGGCAATGCTATTGTTAAACGTGGTGTACTGAGAAAATGTAACAAAGTTCAATAAAATGTCGTTCCTAATTGACCGGATACTTGTGATATTTCCGTTTCTGTAGATATGATAGTAAGTATAAAAACAACTGGTATCCGGATGTCTATAAATAGAAGGCGATGTGAAGTTTATGTCATCGAGACAGCAACCCAACAACAAAATTTCCAAAAGAAATGTAGAAGAAAACATACAGTCTTTAACAATAGACATGCGTCTATATATATACAATATACCACGCTATAAATATAAATTATCCTGATTCTACGCAAATGGTGATTAAACTTAGCAGAAATAATCAAAGATGATTTAATTATATTATTAACACCAAATCCCCCTCCCCCCAAAAAAACATAAAAAAAATAAATTTATACATCAGTTAGAAAAACTTTGGACGAAAGACACATGGGAATGTAGCGGGGTTACACTAGTTTAAAGAGATCTCAACCATTCTCCATTTTTTTAAATCTCAATCATTAGACTATTCAACCGTACGTAAAAGATCACACAATAACATAGAGTACACGAAAAGCACTTAGCTATAATAGAAAAGTAAGATAACATAATCACAAAATAAATAAAAGAATACTCGCAGTTACTGAAAGATAGCTCAAAGTACTTAACCTGTCACCATACACTTCAGGCGCAAATCCAGCCATTTAAAAAAAGGGGGGGGGGGGGGTGGGGGGTGTTTCCATCCACCAGAATACCATGATACTTTCACATAAAAAGGAAAAAAAGGGGGTTCCAACCCCTAGACCTCTCCTCCCCCGGATGCGCCAATGCATCCGAAACATATAATTTACTTAATATTTAGATTTTTTTACTTAAAGTAAGAAAATGAATTACTTGGGATGATTACAGATAATTATTACTTATTCTGAATGAATTGTTCTTACATTTACTAAGTAATTGGAAGATTATACTTTTGTACTTAAAGTTACTTAACGCAGTTAACCTTTATATTAGAATATGAAATGTATCGTCTTTGCTTGTATAATCAGGATGAATTACTTAGTATTTCATATATGTTTTTATTTAGTAATTAGGTACTTTGATTAAGGCATGCCTGATTTTGTTGAATAATTTAAGAAATATTAATTAATCATTTAAATCAAAGGAGTGGAATTCAAGTATTTTTCATTATTTTTCAGGCATTGGAAGCATATTTATCTCGAACAAAGAAGATATCACGGCCTCGTTCAAAACTTTCTTCGCTGTTACTACTGATGTTGTTCTTGTCAGTTTTTCTGAGACTGTGTTTTAGCAGTTTACAAGAAGGTGTAACTTTCCGTGTAAGTATATTTTGAAATTTTCAGTCAATCTAAAAAAAAATAATAAATCTTCATGCTTGTGTCCAGTATATATCTGTTTATTGTATGTATAATATTCGTACAGTGTAGGAAAATATTAAATTTATTTGACGAGCTTTAGAAATAGAGAAAAAAAGGCGAGGCTTGCTGAGCTTTTCTCCTGTTTCGTAGCCAGTACAAGTATGATTTATTTTTTCAGACACTGTACAAATATTGGGTTTATACTGCAATTTAGCATTGAACTTAAACGTATAGTTTTTTTCTTCCGTCGATGGATTTTTCTAATGAAATCGACATGACTTAAACGCGGACTTCCATGATGACCCAAATTGAACTCTGGTGTAAAACAAACAGAAATTATTGAAAAAAGAACATAACCGTTCACTCGCAACAGAAGCAGGATAACAGGAGACTATATAGTATACTTTTATCGCTTCGTGTTATCTGTACACCTGTATTTGTAAACTAGTACATTGTAGTAGAAAGGACGATTGAAGAATAAATTTTAATCAACCGAGGCGAGGCGGTATCGTTGTAGCGTATTCGGATCGAACGCTGACGCAAGATTGAATATTCAATAACCACAACAACAAAAACTTTTTTTCCTCATTGCACAAAGGTGTAGACCATGTGCAATATATAATATATAAGCGAAACGTCCAATAACTGATGTATGCAATTACACTTCGACCGTGCGACCTTCATGGGTAGTCAAGGTAAGCCATTAGTGCAACTACAATAACATATAACATAAATAAAATAAGTAATTTATTATGCGATATAGACACATTCAACAAATATTAATTAGAATTTAGGGAGCAACCATTTAACTTAAAAAAGGGGGGATGGGGGTTCTGGTTTTTTGTCTGAGTCAGACATTTTGGATCAGAATATTTTTTTAGGAAAAAACCATAACCCCACTTCTTGAAGTTAAATGGTCGTTCCCTTAGTTCTTAGTTAATTAATAATACCCGATCGGGTCAAAACTAAGACCTTCAAATTGGTACCGTGGTAGCTGCTTTTCCGTTTAGTTGGCGGCAATTTGTAGTAAGAGTAGTGTAAAGTACATTTTGAAGTAGCATGTAGGTCAAGTTCAATCAAGTACAAATAAGGAGATCTGGCATGATTGCCAATGAGACAAATATCTACCAAAGTTCAAATGGAGTGGATGTAAGCAATAATGAGCAATCGTACCGCCTTCAACAATGAGAGAAACCCATACCGTATTATTGACTATAAAAAGCCCCGAGATGAAAAACATGAAACATTTCAATGGAGAAAACTAACGGCCTAATTATAACAAAAAAATTATAGTATACGAAAAACAAATGTTACAGAGATGACCAAAGACAACCAATGAATTACAGGAAACTGACTTGGGACAGACACATACAGAATGTGACGGGACTTAACATGTTTGAGAGCGCTCAACCTGCATATTAAATAAAAGATTTATTGTTCTAAATATGCATGAAAAAGTTTCTAGTGGACGATAAATAGCCATCCATCATAATCATTATTGTACGTAACCACTTTGGCGGGCAGTCTTCGTTTTTATAATTTAATTTTTAGATGTCCCTGGTTCAATTTTGATCGGGTCAACTACTTGGGATTTTGATTTTGAATGAGAACAACTCTTTGCACATTTTGACCTTTTGTACAGCTTTCCTGGGTTAACTTCTTCAGGAATGATCAAAACCAACAATTTGAAAGTAGGAGGATCTGTATGGCAAAATATATCTAACAAATCTAGTAAGAAAAATATCGAGATCTAAGGTACATTTAAAAAGTGGAAGTCCATAAAAACCAAACGCTAAACTATATCAACCGAGAGAACCATTAGAAACAACTGTCATAATCCTGATTTGGTGCAAAAAGAATGACAGTTTGAATTACTGAGTTATCTTGTTTAATAGATAGCTTTGTGTTTTTATGATTTTGCAAGCTTCGTATCCTACATTTTATTATGGTTGCGGTCTGTCATCTATTTCCCGCATGATCAGATTCTTTTAGTATCACACCGAATAGAGTGCGATATAAAAAAGTGATATGAAAAACACGTTATTTTGATTGGCTCATACTGCAATGTGGTACGAAATTGGGAACGTTCTATTGGCTATTCGTTAGGTCAGTGTTGACTTGTAAAGATTAGTATCATCCTGACAAAAGAGATTTTTTATTTCAAATTGTGGCATACAAGCAGTCACATTTGTCACCCAGAAATATTCTATTTGTAGAAATTATTTCCATTCTATAGCATAACAAAAGTTTTTAGCATGTTAGCGGATTTATATTTAAAGCAATGCTTGTTAAGTAGAATTTGAGGACAAACATAATGTTTACATTGAGAGAAAGATGTTTAGTCACTAGCTATGTAGTGTGAATTCATTGGCGGATCCAAGGGGTTGTTCCGGGGTTTGGAAGCCCCTTTATTTCGATTTTTAAAAAAATATTTATTATTTTTATCTTTTTAAAATTATTTGAGGGTTTCATGGTGTTACCCCCTCATTTTTAAAATGGCTTGATCCGCGCATGGAATTAGATATCGGTTGATATTATCTATCGTTATGTCATTTCATTAATAATGATAAAATTGTCAATAACTCGAGTTGATAATTTTATTTTACCTCAGAAAACTATATGCTATTTAGTAAATACTATACTCTACTTTTGTTTCAATGTTTATATGATCAAGATGGGGCCTCGGTGGCCGAGTGGTCTTAGAATTCGAACTACTGTATCGCTAACTTGTGAAAACTGCGGTTGTGAGTTCGAATCCTGGTGAGCACGAGGCTAGTCCACTCGACTCCAATCTTGTGATTGTAAGTTTTCCTACTGTAGTTCGGTGGTTCTCTCCGAGTACTCCGGCTTCCACCACAAATAAGAACTGACATCCACGAAATATCAAAATAGTGTTGAAAGTGGCGTTAAACTCCATCAATGACACAATCAATATACGATCTAGAGAAGAACTGGTACTACAAAACAATAAAAAAAAAATATTTAAAAATGTTCAGTTCAATTTGAATAAAGAACATTTTCTATTTTTTCAGAATGGAACCTATGATTTTTTACAAAGCAGTATCCTTTTGTTATATTGTGTACTTGTATTGATTCGCCTGGTTGAGTCATTGTTTTACAACAGTAATATTGTGGATTCTTCTTCAGGAAACCAGGTGACAATTACATCAGTAATATATAATTTGTAATACTTTTTTGGCAGTAGAATACTACGCCACAACTGCGAATTAACCCCGCCTTATAATGATTAACGTATCAAAAATCGACGCTGTAACATCCTACAGCAAGTTGTAAATCAATGCTGAGGTGCATGACAGCCAGTTGTAAATTCATGCTGAGGCGCATATAATTCGCAGTTTCGGAATTAAAAAGACAACGGGTAACTCCATTATAAGGGTCCCGTCCGATATTAGTATATCTCAAAGGCAAACTTAATACTTACGGGGGGAACCAACCGAATTAGATATTCGTACCTATAAATATAAAAATTCAGGCACGCCATTGTTTGACTTTTCATTTTAAAGGACGTAGTTATTCAATCAAAACTTATTCGGTACGCTTTTGAATATCACCCAGGGTATGAAATAGATGTAATCTCACAGAATTTCGGATGCTATTAGATTATTTTGATTATTTGTAGGATAGTAGGTTCATCCTATTAAAAAAGTGTTGAAGAAGAAATAAGAGTGTATGGTGTTGTTAGAAATTAAGCATTTTACCCAAAAGACGCTATATATGTGATTCTTTACATTTATTCTGAATCACAAAACTTTGCCACAGTCAAATACACCTCGTGGTTCAGTTTAAATAGTTACCTACATGAATGCATGTCCTATACAAAGATCAGCGTATGCTATTTTGGAAATAACTGTTAGTCCTAATGTTTGACATATGGGGTTGTGAACGCTGATAATGTATGTGGTGACTGATAGGGAAAAAAGAGATAACCGATCGCAAGGAAAATACTACACAATACAACAAATTACATTAAAAAACAACTCCCGACTCCTCTGAAAAGCAGACATACAGACATAAAAACATATAAAAAAACAACACTATGTACTGTTACAATAAACTCATCATCATAGATACCTGGCTATAGATTCACAGATATTGTGGTGTTTATTTTAGGTTCCTGAAGATGATTTTAGCAAAACCAATATATCTGTTTTATCGTCACTTACGTTTAGCTGGGTAGAGCCGTAAGTTGAAAATATCCTTATAGTGCTGCATTACCATTATTTTTCATGTATTTTTGCTGTAAAATAATTGTTTTCAAAATCATCTTACTAGTTGTATGCTTAAAATGTTTGCATGGTTTTAACTCAATCTATGAGCAATTCTTAGCGAATCCAGAAGTCCAGAACTGGGGATATTATACAGCTAAACAATTATGATCTATCTCCAATTTAAATATAGGGATACATTTCTAAAACAGCATTGTTTGTAGTGAAGTGTTATATCTCCAGAAAAGGGGATGTTTATTTATCTTAAAATCTTGTCAATTAAATAAACAATCGAACATAGAGTTTCTCTTCATGTACGTGAATTCGATTCCTATATATAAGTTTTAATGACTCAGTCAAATTTTAATGACATTGTGCTTTTAACCGTTAAGTTAGATTTTAACCACAATATTGCCAAATGTGAAATACTCCATTATAAGATTTACACGACGACATGTTACTTTCAAGTTGAACATTGTACATTCAGACTGTTTAGAAAAGGACGTGATAACAGCTTAAAACTAACTGATTTGCCACCATTTGCACCATCCAGTACAACAAAAACATGCATGGCAAACTTCGAAAAATATTGGACAAAAGAAGTAACCCGAGCTCACAGGTATATATATGTAGCACATGGTTATCTCTCTTATACAATAATATTTATCATTT